CAACAGCACGTAGCTGTCAAACAAACCCAAACAGTTCTGACCCGCGACAATATGAAACAGGAAAGTACCGCAGTGTAATCCATTTATTTCAACAAAGTAACTGTATTCTGAATACCAGCTTTTTAAACGGTAACTGTAACGGAATACAGTTACTCATATTTTGTATTCTAAATACGTAACGGCGGTACATGTATTCCGTTACTCCCCAACACTGCTAAAACTACATGTCCGGGTTTCTTTTGAAGTTAATTTTATAATAAAATGTTTGTTAGCTGTATCAGCCAGCTGACCTCTGAGAATGGTGTTTGCACTCCTCACTGCACGTTCAGTCCTCGGTCCTTCATCCGTTTTGGTTCCCGCTGCTTTAGATGTCCTGTCATAAACACGCGCTTACACTCTTACAGGTGAGAGCAGCAGGTAACAACGCACCGTCAGTCAATAAACAGAGGGTCCAGGAGGGCTCTCTGTCTGTGTTTGTGCTCAAGGCTCTGCAGCCAGGGATGCTTTGTCTTGTTGCTCTGCTCTTTTCCACCGGATCTGTTTTCAGGATCTAAATCTAACAGGATCTAAAAATAGAAAAGAAATATTGAGTTTCCTCTTTAAATGCACATCATGAGCCACCCTGGTGGTGGTCAGAGGGCCTGGTGGCGCCAGTGTCCGGCAGCCTCGCCTCTGTCAGTGCGCCCCAGGGCAGCTGTGGCTACAATGTAGCTGCCATCACCAGTGTGTGAATGGGTGGATGACTGGATATGTAAAGCGCTTTGGGGTCCTTAGGGACTAGTAAAGTGCTATATAAATACAGGCCATTTACCATTTACCCTCACTGAATCACTGTTTAATGCTCTGCTGTAGAAGTGATGATGGAGGGAAACTTTGTGATGAAGTGAGATCTTGTTCATGTGACCTGCATCAGAGCACCTCCTCTTTCCCTCACGTCAGGATATTTCAGGTGAAGGAAAAGTGGTTAGGAAAAGGAGGTAGGTCATTGTTGTTATTGAGCAGACTAACTCAAAGAAAGCCTGCATAACTTTACTGGTTTAATCAACACGCAAACAGAAACAAACTCTTCACATTTCAAACATTTTATTAGAACAAAGGATGAAAACAGGCCGAGCCACTCCCCTCTCCCGGAACACTTCAGTCACACTCAGGTGATCGCCGCAAATAAAAGCACGCCCCCATCAGGCAGGAGCTCGCTCTGCAGCTGAGCAGCGGGACTTTAAATGAAAACCTCTGCTGCCTTTTTGTTTTCAGTCTGTTCCTGCTGAGACCATAGGACTGACAAGTTCCAGGAAATAGTCACATCCATAAATCCAGGAGAAATTTTAGCTTGAAAATCCCAACAGGAAGTTCAAAGCTGATGCTTCCCATCAGCTGATCAGCTCCCACCTCAGTTCCTCCCCCACGGTCTTTAATGTTCACGTGAATGGAGAAATAACCTCGGTATCCCAGCAGCACTCCAACTCCGTCGTCATTTTGCGGCAGCATTGCCGTGCGGCGGGGCCGTCTGTGGCTGCGCCTGCGTTTGCTCAGCGAGCGCCTGCTGCAGCCGCATGCGTTTTCGTGAGTAGTGCTGCCAGTGCAGCAGCTGCTGCTCGTCGATGAACTTGGCGCACTGAGCGTTCACCAGCTCCTTCCTGAAGTGCTCGTACTGCAGCAGCTCCAGCATGTGCAGGCAGTGGGGGTACCTGCAGGGGGCGGAGTCACAGTGCAGAGGTCAGCTGACAGAAGGGTTTACAAACATCACAACTTTATCCTCAAAGAGAAAATCATCTAAACTGAGATCAAACACGTCGCCGTACTTGAGGAACTTGGCATACTCAGGCTCCTTCCAGTACAGCAGGTACTTCAGGTAGTTGATGAAGGATCTGTCCCTCAGGATGCCTCTCTGAGCCAGAACTGGAAACAAACACACAAAACCTACGTTAAACTCTGGCAAATGTGAAGCTGCGAGTTTCTGATCACAGAGTCACTCACAGTTCAGGTAGTTGGGATTCGCCAAACACTGGACGAACTCGAGCTCCAACTGGAAACGGTTCCTGGCCTGCTCGTCTGCACCGGGAAGCACACGAGTTAATCAGCAACACGACATTCAAACCCACAGCACAGATTATCCTGAGATCATCAGGAGCACATGCTTTTAACTTCTATTATTTAATTACAGTAAATCTAAACATCAATAATGTCTCGAAGGATTCAATCCACACTACACACACGCCAACGTAACACACCCACGAGAACGCATGTTTCTATACCAGACTCCATTAGAAAAAAAGCAATTTAGAGGCACATTGTTTTAATTCAACCTGAAAACTTTAAACAGGCAGCTCGGAAATTAAATTTAATATAAGGTTGAATTATTGAGAGCCGAATTAAAGAGCGAGTCTCGGAGTACAGTCTTCAGCGTCCATGCCAGGTCATCTTCAAACACACTCACGTTAGCTGATAAATCAGGTTTGTTGTCAATCGGAATAATTTCTTGGGACGTTGTGATCAGGACAGAAAAGGCCGACACTCTGCAGCCTGACTTAAAGCTAATCATGAGTGTACCAACGTCTTTAACAACACATTCAATTACATTTAAAAACAACCAGAACCTTTACTCCCTTTAACTCCCTTAAATAAAACTCGTAATCCCAGCGCCGCCAGACTCCATTCAATTTAACGCCGCTTTGTCTGTTTGCGGAATGCTTCGTAGTCAAAGTAGAAAAACAAGACGGAGCACATGTAAATACCACCAGCTGATCACAGACACGCTTTTAAAGCCAACAAAGTAAAACTTACGGATTTATTTATGGCGTTTTGTCTTACAGGAAATATTAGCCTAGCAGATTAGCATTGACCAAACAATCTGCTACAAACCTGTTTCCATGGCTACAGCCTGAAGGCAGCAGTATGTAGATGAAGGACTTAAATGTCAGATAAACTGTATAAAAACTTAAGAAGCACAAATAAGAACAGAAAGCCGGGTTTTGCCCTTTTCGGGTTTAATCGCCGCCATCAAACGTGTGCAGACTAAAACGTAAAACGTTAAACTTCCGCCTTCGCGACATCCACGTCGCTTTACGCTGCCTGCTGTTCGTTGTTTGGCCTCAAGAGGGAGGCAACAGCAGGCAAAAGATAAGCGCCTTCAGGCTCCCACAGATATGGAACGCCAGGACTGACATAATGAATTAATAAATACACCATTAAATAATTAATTAAATGTGGCAATAATTAATTAAATAAATATTTACAACTCATTTAATTAAATAATTATTGGCACATTTAATAATTATTGACATATTTAATTAATCCATCCATCCATTCGCTTCCGCTTCTCCTTTTCAGGGTCGCGGGGGGCGCTGGAGCCTATCCCTGCTGTCATAGGGCGAGAGGCGGGGTACACCCTGGACAGGTCGCCAGTCTGTTGCAGGGCCAACACACAGGGACAGTTTTTGTGTCTGTAGGGCTGTTTGATGACGGTTTGGACTCTGGGAGATGAGGACACACCCACATCTGTTCCATACTGCAGCCATTGATGGTGTTACAGCTCTGAGGCAGCTTTGGGGCATCAGACGCACACACTGGAAAACCAGCACCTGGACTTCATGCAGGAGAGACGGCCTCAGTGATTTAGGTTCATAAGCGAGTTCAAACACTTCTGGCCTCTTATCACTTAGATTCCTTAATCTTAACAGTGAATGCATTTAAAGCAGGAACTGCACACCTAGCTGTCAGAAGTTTGGCAGCATGAGTACTGTAAAGTTTTGTAGGGTCCTTGTTAAAAATTCCACAAGCACCACGTTTGTCATATAAAGTTCCATTTTTTACAGTACATTGTTGAAATTATAAACTATATATTCTAGTTGTCCACTTGTCAGTAATCTTTGATTAAATGGATGTCAGTGATAAATCAGTGGTGATTCACCTGCAAATGTTTTTAACAAACTTTGTTTTTTGTAGAATTCATCGGCAGCTGTGGAGAGATGCATTTGAATATCTTCTGGTTCCACTTTTCCTAACCTGGAAGCTGAGGATGGCTGATTGCTGACAAGGACGCACCTCAGTGCTTATCATGGGTGTTACATCCTCTGTGCAGGAATTCCAAAGAAAACGAGAGCAACGAGCACTCGTTAAGAGCAGCCAGAAATCTGTCCCTTTCTGGCAGCTGTGGAAACATCCAATAAGAAAGTTTGCATTCTTAGAACAATGCTGGTCATGTGTGATGTGTCATCATATGAGGATATTACATTTTGACCTAATTCTGCTCAATTAAGTGTTTTGATCGTTGATCCAGTACGGCAGCTTTGTGTTGTGCTGCAAGTTAAAAACCATTGTCCTCATTAACACAGCATCTAACAACTCTCCTTTACAAAAGTCGATTGACTTTAACTGGACACAATGGTTTCCAGTGGGAGCAGTGTTGGGGAGTAACGGAATACATGTACCGCC